AGATTACATTTTGACACAACACAATACCATTGTGATTCTCAGACCTACAGGAAAAGTTATAAAACGTGAGATTGTCTTCAAAAAAAAGCAACTATTTACAAAACAGGACCAGAAGTAAAATTCCCATTTTGATTTCCGGTCCCAGGATAGGTACACCTTTTAAAGCATGGATATCATTGGATACGGGCGGTCTTAAGTACATTTTATACTTTCTTGTTCTGTTGGTGTGCATTACTTAGTCATACACTTGGTACCTAAAAGTGCTAATCTCATTTTATTTACTGACTTCGGGTTTGACGAGTTACAATGCAAAAAGACACAACGAAACAGTTCCAGTATGGAGGAATCCCCACAGGTATGAGGAGCAGGGAGAGTGTGTGCGCCGCCGGTAGGGTTATTTTCTGAGAGAAATGAAATTTCCAGTTGACCCGTGTACCCAGCGCCTTCTCCAGAAGGAGTCACATCCTCATCCATATTTATGAACTCTGCTCTGTTTCCACTCATTTGTATGCACAAATCCTTCCCTGTGTTCATACAGGTCAATGCTACAGTTGATGTGGTCGAAAGAAAGTCTACAGGGTCATGAGAAAAAGCAGCACCTTGTCCGCACAAGTCCATGGAAGTTTGCTCCTTAACATGCTACTAAAGCAAAGCGTGCGTCTTTAACAGCTCTCACCTACGGGATTCTGCGTGCAGTCATCCAACCGGGTGATTAGAAAGAGGAACACCAAGGCTTCGTATTCACAATTACATTCAGAAAAAGCCTTACACGAGTCTGTGAACACCCACCAGGGAGCGTGCCTGTGGTTCAAAGGTCAGCCTCAGACTGCCCGTCAGCTACAAAGAAACAGCTCTTTCTCATAGAGCTTTCCTCCACACCTCAAAAAGTTGGTATTGTCCAGTTCATGTAAATTTGTCTTGAAATAATTATCACGTTCGTTAAAAAAAAACAAAAAACAAAAACAAAACCCCCAAACCCCAAAACCCCAAACTGTTCTGACTTGAAAAAACTCTAGAGATAATAAAAGTCTGTCTAAGGATCTTCCAGATCTATCTTTCACATACCCTTTAATTTTCCCTGAGGAAATGAATATTATTTACAGTATTTTGCTACTATTCTCAAGGTATTCTCTCCTGTAGGTACAGTCCTTGCCACTTCTCTCTCAACATTCTCAAGTGAATGCTGTTCTTTCATTTTCCAATGAAGTCTGAAGAAGGAGGAAATGGGTTCAGCTGTCGGCGACTTCAGAACCCAGGGTGGCTTTCAAAAGTGTGGCTTCCTGGGACACTTGAGACAAGCCGACTGAAACTCAAATGATCTTGAAATCTGATAGAGGGCATTTCAGTTTCAGAAATCTCTTCCAACATTCATGTAACTATCTCATGTAAAGATTTTGGAAAGCCGGAGAACTGTAACCCCCACCCTTTTCTATTGCAAGTTTTCATCGGCAACACAGTTACAACTGGATAAGGAATCAGCTGGTGAAGGTCACCCTGGTGCTTGGATCGGCTGACAGGCACTCCGCCACTGAGCATGCATTGGGTGGAAACCCACTGCCTTCTTCCTGACACTGGCTTTTCCCAACCAATGAGGAAACCTGCCAGCAAGTGAGGGGGTGGGAAGTACATGCCCCCTAGAGATGTGCTTGCTGGTCCTGTGTCCCTGGGCAGAGCTGCTTCCCCTAAGGGAGCCTCTTCTTGCTTCGGGCAGCCACTCCTGGGGGACAGTCCCCACTGGCCGACCAGCATTAAGGAGATGAGCAGGAGCTAGATGTCCATAGACCTCTTGTATCTCCCCTCTGGTCCCCAGCCCACCCACTTGCTACCCAGTGTTTTCTCCAGCTTGTCACACTGCTTCCCATAAATTGGGTGCACATCCTCTGGGAAGGACTAAGGCTTAATACTACGGTCTGATGAACTCTTTGCTTTGTAGCTACCTGAAGAATGCCTGTCCATTACTATGAGATGCCTTTTTTAGACAGAGATGAGAACTGTTTTGTGAAGGAAGGGGCGATCAAGGGAGAGAAAGGTCAAAAGACTATAGCATGCCTTCTTTAGAGATACTTTGGGTCCAGAATCCGTTGTATTGCCATTGCATTTGCACAGACAGGTGTCCTAGGTCCCTGGGATGGACGGAGCTCCAGTTAGCCAGCATGCTGTGGGACCGCCCTTTCCACCCATCCCCTGTCTCTGCTCGCCAAATGAAGACATAAAAAGCATGTGGGACCACAGAGATGGCAGAAAATGAATGTTGGGCTTAATGTGGCACTTCATTTAATTCCAAAATATAACAAAATAGCTCTATGTCTTTTTTTTTTTTTAAGTTTAGCTTTTACAATCAGTGCTGTATATTGCAATTCATCACTTTCTGGGTGGCTTGCAAGAAGTTAATCCCTCCCCCCCCCTTTTTTTCCCTCCCAAGGCCAGCCAGGTGAATATTGGTGGGTCTCTAGTTACCACATGCCTTGATACAAAGAATGGATGTCTCTGTGTGCAGGAAGCTACTGAGGGTCTGTGCACACCTGGAAGCCAAGAAGGTACACAGAGATTGGGCCGGTTGGCAGAAAGGAGTCCCCATGTGGGTAGGAGACGCAGAAGAGTATGTGTAGAGAAGGCTTTAGAAAGGAGAAGAAATCCCAGGGAAGTTGCCTTCAGCTCTACACTTCTGCTTATACCTGTTCATTAGCTAAAAACCAGGTAAGGACTGAGCTTGACCCCTCCAGGCCAGAGCTCAGAACTAATCATGCGCTGCATCTCTGGAGGACAGCCACAAAACCTCAGTCCAGGACTGCTCCACAGCAGAGACCTCTCCCTCCTTGTGTTCCAAAGTTTTAGGGGGTGGGGAGGATGGATTTAGCCCCTCATCATTTTGTTTTTGATGAAGGACTTAATCCCAGGATCACAGGCCAGGGAGCCTCACCGAAGAGAAAAACCTCTGCTCTGGTATTGCATCCCAACCAACCATCACTTCTGTCCACAGGGAACCTGCTCAAAGGCTTCATCAGCTCTGGACTCACTGTGGCCACTGGGCAGTCCACCCTCAGCTCAGACCTCTTGGGCCAGGCCAGAGCATCATGTCACAGTCGAGGGTGCCTATGCGTAGAGCAACGGGACTCCAGGAAGGAGAAAAGACATGCTGGGATTGAGGATGGAAATACATTTCTATCCTTTAAAAAATGCCCTTTCCTGGCTGACCTTGTAAATACTAAAACACATTATAGCTGGTGCCATAGCTACTAGTGATTGGTAATCATGACATGAAATTAAATGAAGCTCTTTTCCTGCTCTCTTGAAATAAGGGTTGTTGAAATAAAAATGAATGGAGGAAAACAGGATCTTTTCCAAGCAACAATGTTTAAAAAGTCATAAGAAAGCTTAAAAAATAAAACTGCCAAAAACAGATGAATGCACAGGTTGTGGATATTACACCGTGGGATCTCCTTCCATTTCCCTCAATTATAAAAGGAAAAGGACGTTTATTATTACTAGATGACGTCTTTCAACTCTTTAAAACAAGTGTATGTACAATCTCTACACATATATTAAACTTTGCTCTGTGCAATTTCATTGAACATTCCTATGGCTGATCGTAGGCTCCCCGTCCTGACACAGTGCATCCTGAAAGGCGCTCTTCCTTCTTTGCATAGGTATAGGAAAAATAACTCATTAGCAGGGCAGTCCGGAGTAGAACAGACAGACGACGAGCCTATACAGAGTGCATGACGACTAGTCCCCTCCCCCTTTCCACTACTAACAAAACAACCAACCAACCAAACAAACATACATACCAGGCTAGAAAGCCTGCCAAGAGCGAACACAGTGGGAGCCCTGGTCCTATGAAATGGAGAGATTCCTATACCAACATGCATTTTCCTTTTGGTGTCCTGTATGTTCCCCTCTGAGCAAATTCTTAACGAACAGTTCCAATATTTTTATAAGAAAAATAAAGTTTGGGACCTCCTATGTACCCATATCATGTTTCTATATTTCACGAACCCCTCTCCCGGACATGCTAAAGCATACAACCTATGAAAGTGCACTCAGAATAGATGTTGGTTTGTTGACCTCACATGTCTCTCTGAACAGATGGGGACGTGGAGGCTGTGCTCCGCTGTCCTGTGGGGATAGTTCGAGTTCTCTACCTTTTCTGAAACCGGTCCGGGGTGGAGTTTTGAGGGAAGGCCCGATGACCCGCTAACCTGGCAAGGACACCGTCAGACAAGCAGTGACCAACAGACCCGGGCCCCTGCCTGCCCTGTGTCCCTGAAAGAAGCATCAAGGCTTACCCGGATGGCCACCCATGCCAGTCTTTGATGGAGCTGCGGCTGGTAGAGAATGAGCCGCCGTGCCTCCCAGGCAAGGGCTTCTTAGAAAAGCGAAGACGCCTAGGTGTTCCCGGATGTCCTGGACTCAGCTGGGGGCTGAAGTCTGCTGGTGATCTCTTTGCGAGTGGACACCCTCCGGGGCCCTTTAGGCCAACAGCTCTGTGGTGGTTCCGTGTGGGGCCATTCTTCAAAACGCGAGAAACCGACAAACGAGACAGAGAAGAGATCCCCAGAGTGCTGCGCTTCCTAGCAACACGTCATGATGTGCACTGCTCCGAGAAGTCAAATGGAAAACAGGGAAAATACTATTCACAATGAAAGCAGGTATTGTCCTCTGTACAAACGCTACTGAATAACGTGTAGCTTTTTTTTTTTAATATGTCAAAAAAATCTCAGAAATGGCATTATTAGGAAAGCTTATCAAAATATGCCTCCTCTCTAGGTAAAACGGGCTTTGTTGGTTCAGTTGCTACGGAAGTCCACAGTTTTCAGACCTAGACATACAGAAAAAAAAAGAAAGGCTGACTTTTCTTTTCAAGGAAAAAAAAAAATAGAGCTGCCCGACACTGGGTTCTCAGCAAGAGCAGTGAGGGTGGTGACCTTATTTATTATTTATTTATTTATTTATTTATTTTTGCTGTCATTCCACCAAGTTTCCTGGAAGTGCTTTTCCTGGGCTTCAAGTGTGTTTTTGTTCGGAAGAAAAAGCGCTTTTCCAGAGCCTGCGGTGGAAGGCGAGGGCAGCGGGGCTCAGGGGCCCCGGGGGTCAGTCAGTGAACCTCTGGCACGCCTTCTTCCAGCGGCACGCCGTGCACCACAGGTCCCGGTTCTCCATGCCATACACCTTGCGGCACTTCTTGCCCTCTCCCCGGGGCTTCCTGCAAGACAGGCAAGGAGCAGTTATGCAGCGGGACAAAGTCAGGGGGTGTTCTCTGGAGGGCTTGCGATCCCTCGAAAGAGCAAGAAACAGTGTGAAGAAACCTAGTAAGGGTTCTTGCTAGGCTAGGACTCGAACACCTGCTGGATGTTGTCGCGGCCACCATGCTCAGCTGTTACTACTGACTGCTACTGTAACTCTCAAGCTTCTACTTGTCCATTTGGGGGCTTGTCCCTCTTCATCAAACTGAATTAAACAAGTAAATACAAAAAATACCAGTAGGGAGCTTTATTCTTTTAAGTTTTAAGTATTGTGCTTTCAGGTGCTCTTTTGCTTCTCAAATTTCTAGCATTCTGGTTCAGGGACATCTGAGGCGTTTCTCATTGACCTGTATTAAAAACTATATTTTTTAAAGTTCTTTTAATACAGAGGTTAAGGCCATATGGCTTTAACTAGACCCAGAAATCACCATTACCTATTCTTCAAGAAAACTTACAGCGAACTGTTACCAACTGCCTCCCCCCCGCCACAGCAACTCTTCATTAATAATTGATGGGTGGGGAAAACCATGGCAACGAAAGAAAGGGTGTTTTGTCCATTCCAGGGAAATTTTATGGAACATCGTATCCCTGGTTTCTCTCTTCCTTGCTGTTCTTCTGTTTTTCAGTTAATCCCCTTGCGATGAGGAGGGTGGCGGTTCAAGCGGTCATACCTCAGGCTGACTGTCCCTCTGGGTGGCGAGGACAAGACCGTGTGGGTGTGCTGTCTCTGCTCCCCTGTGCCCACCGGATGATTATGTGTCGGTGACACCTGGCAAGGACACGGAAAACAAAGTTGATGCTGGGACAGTTTCTCCTCACCATGCCTTTATTTAGCCTTTGCCACATGGGCAGTGGTCAACGTCGGACACGGAGATGAAACGCTTTCTTCCCAGAGACACATGTTAACACGGATACGGTGATGCTGGTGGCAAAATTTAAACGCCTCCCCAAGCAGAAAAGACTCGGCAACAACGAATACTTTAAAAAACCTTCATGACTTCACGTGTGTATTCCAAGTTGCCCATAGTAACATATTTTCACTTGAATAATATTCCAAACCTTAACGTATAGTCTCACCTATTCTAAGCCTCATGGTCTACCTTTTTTAAAAAAGACAAATCCCTAGAGGTTAAGAGAGTTATCTAAAATTATATAGCGAGTCAATGGCAATGACACAATGTGGACGTCGGCCCTCTGTTTGCTTTACGAGATCATTCACAGCCCCTAAATAAATGGCCTCTTGCATAAGACATCCATACAGCAGACGGTGGGGTCCAAACGGGAATAAAGACTAGAAGCAAAGAGTCCAAGCAAGTCAAGAACAAATGTCATCCATGAAACACTTACTGGGCACTCGCTACATGCCAGGTTCATTGACAATGGCTTTAATTGTCACAACTACCCCACGTGGTAAGTACTATTCTTGTTCCTGCTTCATGGACGAGGAAACCAAGGCATGGGGCCAAGGTCATGGAACTTGTAATGGCAGGGCCAGCACTTGTCCTGAGCTCCACCCGATGCCAGAGCTTGTGTCTGGCCCCGCTACACTTCTGCCTCTCAGTCATAGTAACAGGAGGGCCCCTGGCTTTTGATTCCTCTTATACTTCTTACCAGACCCTTTGCCTCATCTGCTCTCCTGATATTAAATATCTTCCCAGCACTTGGGATTCTCAACAGCTACAAAAAACGAGTTTTTATAAGAAAAGATAAATGATATTTCAAGAAAATACACAGCCTTGCCATATATAGAAGAGCAGACATGTAATGAATTTAGACACTTAATTATCTAGAAGCCAACATGGCCACAGAAGTACCATGACCAATGAACAGTCATGGGAACACTCCTAAGGCATACTTATAGAACTGAATTTCTCTAGTACAGGTACTAGCACTTTTTATTTTCTTTCAATTCAAAGGAATATACGTCAGCGTTATCTTCTTAGATGTTAATTCAAAAAATTAAACAGGTAAGTAAAAACCTAACATTTTAAACCATTGTTGCCATGATTCTGAATTATTCTGTACCATCGGTCATAATTTTTTGCTAAAGCTGGGTAGGAGTGAGGGCCAGAAGAGGTGAGTTAACATACATAATTTTTTAAAAACAAAAGCTTTGGAGTTCAGTGTATGCATTTGACATGGATAGATATGTAAGTCTTTCCAGGAGCAGAATCTCGACCCCCCTTTCCCCCTACAGCTACCCTGCATCCCATCCCTGACCAGGGTGCATCACAGCAAACCAGAGGGAGTGAATGCTTCAGGTGTTCATAGCCACCGTGGTGATCTAGAGTGTGCTTATATGAATTGTTTTAAGTGGTCGAGACAATTTTTAAAAATCTAAAAATTATTACAGAATTCATAGAATCCCAAGAATCCTGCCTTATTTAGTGAGAGAACTAGGAGAAGTTTAGTTGACATGACAGTGACCCAACGTCCATCAGCTGGTTGATAATGTGGAAGATTTTCTAACTTGTGCAAAAGTGCCATGCCCCTTTCACGTGAGGTGATATGAGATGACAGGGTGCTCTTCATCCAACGAATATTTATGAAGTTCTTACTATGCACCGGGCACCCTTCTAGAATGTGGGTGCCTAGTGGTGAACAATGCTAAGTCTCTGCCCTCATGGAGCATACATTCTAGTGGGGACACAGACAATACATACAAACAAGTTAAGATCATTTTAGTGATAAGTGCTTGAAGAAAATAAAATAGGTCAATAGGCAAAGCCTCATGAAGGGCGAGGACATTTACTTATTTAGGGCGGTGAGAAAAGTCCCCCTGAGAGGCTGCCTTTTATCTTTAGGGCACTCTGAAGAAAGGGCAGCAATGACAGAGGCCTCCTAGGTGCAGAGAGCCCAAGGGGCCAGAAGACACTGTGTGGGGGCTGGAGGTAGGAAGACAGGAGGTGGTAGATTCAGGAAAGACCTCCTGGCTGTGACTGAGGAATTTGAATTGAATGTTGCTCTAAGTGCTAGGGAAGCCCTTGGAGAATTTTAAGAAAGCGAGACATCCGATTAATGCTTTAAAAAGATCCCTTTGGCTCCTTCGAGAATGAATTGGAGACAGCCTGGAGAGGAGCCCTGCAGTCTAGGTAAGAGGCTTTTGCACTATCTGGGGGGAAATACGTACTGGTGATTTAGACTAGGGTGTGACAGCGGTGGTAAGAAGGGGCTGGATTCATGGCAGGATCAGGCAGAGTCTGGGACACGCTGAAGGATGGGAAAAAATGAAGACAAATCTTTCGAAGAATCAGGGATGAATCAAGGGGAGTCAAGGGTGAATCCCAGCTTCTGGCCCAAGAAGCTGGAGGGATGGTGGTGCCACTTACTGAAATGGGAAAACTGGTGATGTGGTTGGTTTGAGGAAGGAGCGAGGACCAGGCTTTTGAAAGTTCCAAAGACTATGGAGGAGGAGGAATAACCCCTGATTACAGTCTTTACTCCTGCTAATGGCTTTCTTAACTCAGGAGTTCAGGGCCTGCGTGTATAGTCCTGTCCAGCAGCAGCCCCTCCCGATCCACCCCAGACCTGGGTTTTATGGGGTGCAATGCAGCGGAAGCCAGAACCCGCATCACACGTTGGCTGTGGCTCAGTTCTGTGTGATGACCACCTAACTTGTGAGCTTTCCTTGAGACTTTTTATAGCAAGACAATCATGGCTGAAAGCTTTTTATTTTAGCGGGGGCTGAGGGTGGGGAAGGGAAGGCGGTAGCTGGCGTAGGAACGGACATTTATTTAGTGCTCACAAATGTGAGAGGCAGGCTACTAGTCTAGGTATCGTTTCTTTTAATCCTCACAAAACCCCTGCCAGTGAAGTGCTGTTATCTGCATTTTGTAGATAAGATCATTTAGACGTGGAGCCAGGAGGTGGCCTGCAGAGCATCCCGGAGTTCTAAGTATCAGTAGTAGTAATTTAGCGAGGGCTTGTTAAACGAAGTGCCTTGGAATGCTGTCTGCTTTCATCTTCACCGCGACCCTAGGGTAAGTAGATGGCCATCATGTCCACCTCCTTGATAAGGGAGGGGAGAAGTTCAGTCTGTTGTGACACAGTAAATGGTGGGGCCGGTACTTGAACACAGGCCGTCTCGTACCAGCTGACCTTGGCACTAGTTCTGAATGACGTCAAGGCACTACTCTTTCCATCCCTCCACCCTGCCATGGAGCTGAGGGAAATACGGTGCGCCCTAAAATAAAGCCCTGGACCGCATGATGTTGGCCATCTCTCCCAGTGGTCTCCACATTTCAATCTTCATTTTTTTAAAAATCATTATTAGTTTTATATCTTAACTGTTTCTAAATTCCATTTTGGGGCATTTTCTATTAAGTATATAGTAGACTCAGAGAGTACTATATGGTATTTTTTCTAAATAAAAAGAAATAGATAAATAAATATTTTTAGAAGTATAATCTCCATTTAATTTTTTTCCAGAGAACCGTTTTTCTTCAGTCCTTAAGGACTCGGGTCCTGACATGGGCTTTGGTGGAGGTCGTGGGGCAGCACCCGCGGGTCTTAATCGGGGTGGGGGTGTTGGGTCCTCCCAGGCTTCATGAGAGCGATTCCTGGCTACCTTGCTGTGAAAGGCACAGCTCACACAGTAATGGAGTTTCACACACCGCTTGGGGAGCACACAAGCACAAGCACACAATGAGTATATGCCTCTCATTTTTCTGCTGATTAGGTGTGACCTCAGAAGAGTTTCAAGAACTTTAGTCTGCAAAAATCATGGTTAATTTCTCCCCTATGTTGGGTAGATATGGGTTATATCAGTCAGTCCCAAATAGGGAGAATACACTTCTGACCACTGTATTACAGCGATGAGACACATCACAGGCAGCAAGACTAGTGAATGCTCCATGTGAGCCAGGCACTGTGCTCAACAATACGACTCCATGCAGGCGGGGGGGTGCCTGGGTGGCTCAGTTGGTTAAGCGTCTGCCTTCTGCTTAGGTCATGATCCCAGGGTCCCGGGATGGAGTCCCGTATCGGGTTCTCTGCTTAGTGGGGAGCCTGCTTCTCCCTCTTCCTCTGCGGGCCGCTCAGCCTACTTGTGCTCTCTGTCAAACAAATAAAATCTTAAAAAAAAAAAAATACAACTCCATGGCGTGGTTTAAATTTGAGGGCATTGCTTAAGAGAAGTCATGTGACTAGATAGAGGTTTGTAAATGCCAGAGTCAGGATTTGCATCTGAGCCTCACACCAGAGCAGTCTGAAGAATGTTGTGTCCCTCTGTAAATATGTTGGGGAGATTTCTTTTCTTTGTGATTTTCTCTCTCTCAAATGGAAAAGCCAGCGTTCCTTGTCTTGGTTGTAATCTTATATTATTCTGAATCCTCCCTTGAGGTGTTAAAAAAAACCCAAACAAACAAACCCAGCTAAACGTCTGATAATTAAGCACTGCTATTTTAGGTTTGGAGATCCTCCTCCAGCCTGAAGCCCTCCTAGAATGGCCCTTGGATCGCAGTTTGATTCGCTCTTGGTTCCGTGGGCTTGTTATAGACTGCATGTTTGTGTTCCCCCCATAATTCATATATTGAAGGTCTCACCCTTAGTGTGGTTATATTTGGATATGGAGTCTTTAAGGAAGTAAATAAGGATAAATGAAGTCAAAAGGCTGGGACCCTGATCCAACAGGATTAGTGTCCTTATAAGAAGAGATACTCAGGGCTCTCTCTCCACCTGCCTTGCGCCCCCTCTCCTGCCTCCAGCAACAGAAAAGACCATATAAGGACACAGTGAGCAGGTGACCCTCTACAAGCCACGGAGAGAGCTCTCACTAGGAGCTGAATTAGCCAGCACCACGGCCTGGGACTTCTAGCCTCCTGAACTGTGAGAAAATACATTTTGGTTGTTTAAAGCGATCCAGTCTATGGTATTCTGTTATGGCAGTATGGGCAGATTCATACGGGGTCAAGAACTCTCAGCTTTCTGTCAGAAAAGACAGAAAAGAATGTAGATAATTAGAAGAAAAGGCGCGGTCGTTCGGGAAAAACAGCTCAAAGAATGCTGTAATTAATGAGGGTCTTCTCCCTGCTCTTATGTCTATGGCCTTCGGCTAGAAAAGACTGTACCTCCAGTTACATTTGCAGCTAGGCAGAACAGACTTCTCCACTCCACACCTCCGGGAAGATGTCTTACCCAGGGAACTTATTAAAGCCTGATGTTCAGAAATCTTGTGTAGGCAAATGAATAAATAAAATCCTGCAAACTTTGGGATTTCTCAGAAGGAGAGTATTTCCCTTCTCTAGGAAGCATATAATGCTTCCTTGGATACCTCAATACCAGGTATCCAAGATGTGGGGCCGGGGGGGGTGGGGGAAGCAAACCTTAAATGGGGTTGACAACCTCCGGATATTTGTTTTGGAGTACAAAGAAAAACATGTTCTTTAAAGAGCATTTTATAAAATGGGAACTGCTTTGTTCTTCCGTTTGGATATAGCTGAGGCCATCAATGATACTAATTCATTATAATTTAAAATGTTTAGAGCTACTGCCCGAAAACCCTATTATACTAGTTTAGAAGGTAGGAATTCATATGCTCTTAGATTCCACCTGGCTCCCTGTCTCCTAGGGGCGGGGACAGCATTTCTGGAGAATTCGAGAACAGTTGCTAGCCCCCAGTCAGTGGACGAGCACCAGTCCTGTGCTTCTGTGGGGTGGTGGTGTAAGATCCAGCCCCCACTAGAAGGAGGCAAACAGTAAGCACCCACATTTTTTTAAGCCTTGCTAGACAGTATATAACATAAAGAACATTTTTAATAGTGAGCCCTCTCTCTAGGGTAAAACAAAGCCTGGGAAAATAGCATCCCCTCCCCTTCTCTTTCGTTTGAAATAGGAATGGCTGCTAAAACAGTCTAAAGTGTTGGCTGAAACATGACACAACCAGATAGATGAGAATTTTGTGGTGAAAGAAGACATTAGAAGTGAAAGCAGGATTTCAGTGGGATACCTAGTTAACACAGCTACTCTGTACCCTTTCTGCCGAAGCTCTGGTCTAGACTGTCCCAGGTAAGCAATGAAATTAGGGACGTCGAACAATCTAGGACATTGAGATGAGGGTAGAGATACAGTGTCCACAGCAGAGAAGAGTGTTAAAATCTTGCTACTGGGAAACCAACAATAGAAGGTATCCTGGCTGGTATCTTACTGGGTAAAATATTTAGGAACTTTAGAGGACATGTAGCTAGTCATACACCACACAGTGATTTCTCTGCACTTTAGAAGGAGATGATTTAATTAATAAAGCAAAGGGAAAGAAATTCCATTTTGGTTGGTCACAGAGGTAATCTGAAAAAAAGTCTGAACGGGGCTGTTCCAGCCACATGCTGCATGTGTTTGTACCCCAGGCCAGCCATATGGTGTATGCTCTCGAACATTTTCAAATCAAAGACAGGAATCAACAGGATTCAGAATAGTGGGTCTCTATAATTCTGTAATTGTAGCTGCCTTTCTAGGTTAGGGGGCTTGTCTCAAATGTGATATTGAGAGCCACTCGGGTCTTTTCAGGTCCACCAAAATAAATAAATAAATGAAAGTCCCCCAAGCTGAAGATAGCACATGTAGAATAAAAGATACTTTATGTAAAGAAATAAAATCTTATTAAAAAAAAAGTCCCCCAGAGGACCGATGGTTAACCTCTGACACCCTCCTCAGCTGATCGTTGTTCTTGCCAGAGAGCAAAACTGTTACCTACGTGCTCTCTTCTAATGTCTACTAACAAGATCCCTCCTTGCGTTCTTGCTCTTTCAGAGTAGCCAGCCGTTACTACTATTTGATGAAGGAGGCGACTTTCAAAATTACTCCAGATCCTCGATTATTATTTAAAAATCAAATTCCAGGAGTATTTTCTGGAAGCTACAAATTCCCAAGTTGCTGCCAGCAGGATGCTTTTTAGTGCTGGCTATTCTCCTAGGGAATTTAATAAATATTCATCGACTGGGCACAGCATAATTGATTGAGCCACTTTCATTTTTATCAGCACTGTAGGAGGCCTTAGTATTTTCTGGAAACCTCTGGAAGTTGCCAGTGGTTGACAGTAAGAAGCTTTTGTGAGGCCTTGGGGAGAGGGGTGGAGAGGAGAAAATAAGGTTAATGTCTGTTATCATAAGCCACTTTGTGAAACTTATCAGGAGTTATAAACCACTGTGGGCATCAACAGTGTGTAGGTCTGTGGATATTCTGTGATAAGCTACAAAAGACCCAATATATTTGTAAACGAATGGTTAGGAATCAAGTTAATTCATGGCGATTTATCAGACAGCAATCATTTACTATGTCAAATCAATTCTTATATACCATTTAAACCTTATTGCATAGTTCAACACTCTTATTTTCGGGAGTACCTATCAGCATGGATTACTCAAGCTTTGGAAGAAAAAAAAAGCATTTCAATTTAGGGTTTTTTTTTTTTTTTTGAACCTTTCAAAATGACATACCCAGAAATAATAATTTCAAAGTCATAAATTTTATAAAGTTATTCATAATGATAAATATCATTTATGTACAGGGTCTTTTTCTTTTTGTTCAGCATCTGAGTTCAGCTATTAATGCTATCAAGCCTTTTGGAAACATACAAATACACCACCGACACAAAAAATTTCAACACATTTCTAACAAGTCATTTATCAGCAGTTGCAACTCTCCTAGTTTTCTCAAATGCGGCAACTCTCCTACTTTTCTCAAATGCCTGTCGTAACACCTTTTTCCACAGACAAGCTGAGCTAGGCTGGATCGTGAAATACGTGCTGGGGAGTTTACAAGTGTCACTTAAGGAATAGAGTACTTCCGGCATTTTTTTTGAGTTTTGTCTTTTTCTTGCATGTTTTTATAATTTGTTCTCTAAATTTATGTGCAGCGTTGACCAGATTTCTGGCTATTTGTTTTTCTACTTACTGGAATGCCCGTGAAGGTAACCGGAGGAGACTGCCAAGAAATGCTGAAGCTGCTACCGTTGGGGGTGAACTTGGCCGATCCTGGAATGGTCACGGGGGGCGTGGCCTGTTCCACAGAAAACAGAGAACATTGTTATGAAACAACATTTCTCCTCGCAGTCCTATGCTATCATTGCCTAAGTAGGGCCCTGAAAGTGGTTTCAGCTGGATTAATAATTTAGACGAATTATCCAACAGGAGGAGATTAAACATAGTCCAAGAGAATAGCTAGAAATAAACTTTTTATGTATCTCAGCAAGCTATCTAAGGAATAAAAGCAGGAGGTTTTTGATGGTTTCTGAAAAGAAATTTATTATATATACATATACCTATTTTAGGACATATTTATGTGTAAAACACAATGCTTCACTGTCAAACTGGGAAAGAAACAATCTTATACAGGGATGCCAGGGGGTAAATTGGTACAACATTTGGGGATGGCAGGTTGGCGATATATATATATATATATATCAAAATTCTTAGTATTTCGTATATTAGCTATGCCACTTCTAGAATTCATTCTAAGGAAATGGGTACAGGATGTTCATTGCAGAACTATGTATTAGGTACAAAAAACCGGAAATGCAAATGTCCAATAATAGGGAAGTGGGTAAATAAATCATGATCTATCCACAGAGTCTGATGTTGTTGAAGAATGCTGATTGGTATGGGAAAATGTTCATGATATATTAAGTGGCAAAAACAAAGCACAAGAAAAACAGCATTACAATGAATTCCCTTTTTTAAAACAAATAAGTAAACATACATAGAACAAAGTCTTGAAGGACATACAAAAAATATTAACCAAGGGGCTTTTTTGCTGTTGGGATTAGGGGATGAATTTTCTTCATTTCCTTGTGTTTTTAGCATTTTTGATGCTGAATATTTATAATGTCTATAAATAGAACAATCCCAATATTACGAATACATGGCTTGGGAAGGACCTTTTAGATCACCTACTGCATGTTTCAACTCTTATACAGGTGAGCAACATAGTTGGAATGGATTCATGCCCATGATTTTGAACCAGTGTTTCTACATGCAACACTGATGAACAAGAACGAAGAAATTATTCTTTTTGACCAACATAACAAGAGTCAGGAATGAAATTTATTGCTTCAGCTAATTTAATTATTAGCTCTATTCCATGGCTCTTGAGCGTAAGTCTACTAAATCAGTGGCTGGATGTTTCTTCTACAGGTTTCTACATCTAATTATAGATGTAGCTGCTAGTGATGGTGGTTTTATAACTGGCATCGCTGGGAAATATTTTGGCAATACATAGCAAGAACCATAAGCTGTTCATGTTATATCCTCTGACTCAATAATTACTCTTCTGGGAATTCAAAGAGAAAAAAAAAAGCTACTGGCACAGAGGTGTTCATAGTAGAGTTATTAAAGATAGTGGAAAAAAACTGGAGCGACTAAAGAGTAGATACCCAACAATAAGAGAATGATTGAAACACTTCAGTGCTTCAATGTCACCGAAAACTATTCAGTTATATGAAAATGTTTATAAAACCAGGGTGGGAGAACACAATTACAAGTATGGACAGAAGATTTTTTTTTTTTAAGTTGCACAAAGTAGTTGAGAATTATGGAAAAAAATGTTCTCTTAAAATCTGAATGTTTTGAAATGTCATTAAAACAAATCAATGTTTAAAAGAGTTAATAATTGTTGGGGGGACAAAGGAGCTTTAGCCAAGTCCTATTTGCAGGCTTTGTGTGTAAGGTCTTATCAGACTTTCCAGTGAAGCAGATCTGGTTCTGCCCAGCAGGTCTGGAGCAGTCCCAAGAATTTACATTTCTAACAAGTTCCCAGGTGATGCTGACGCTATTGATTTGGGGAACACTGATAATCGTCTCTCTGATCTGTGAGTATTAGTTACCGATTCAGAAGGCAGGGCATGAAGTCCCAGATTTGGAGCACAGGGTGATTATGTCATTGTGCCAAAGCTTTACAGTGCTCACCTTTTCATGTGTTTTATTTTTTATTTAACAGATGCTTATATCGTGTGCCGGGCACCCTTCTGAGTTCTTTATGATATGAAGGATTTTAATCCTATGACAACCTCTAAGGGATTGGATCTTCAGTCAATATCGCGGAATCCAAGAGCCCACAAGTGTGAGCTCTGGGCTTTAAAAGGAGAAAAAGAACAAAATGAACTCAGCTATTGGGCTACTTGTGTGATGCTGTTTTTCCACTGGGTTACCCTCTCCTCGCACGGCAGAATGCGACAGCTTTTGGTCTGGGGTCAAAGTGACTACTCTCACGGTCCTTCGCCAGTCACCTGGTAAGCATGGTCGGTGTGCACGAGGTAGAGGGTGGTGGGAGCTGAGCGGCTCAAGGGTGTCATCAGTTTAGTCTCAGTTTTGGCACAAGGAGTCTCTGTTCGGCTTGAATCTGGGATGGGGAAAGTGGGAGGCGAAGCCAGGGACTGAGACGGTGACACCGGGGCCAGGCTGCTCAGTCCGTCTGCCACTGAGTCTGTGTTGAGCTTGATCTCAGTGTAGTAAAAGTCCTCTTCTCCATCACTGTAGTCGGAGTCCCCAACACGCCTAGGGCAAAAGAGGGCAAAAGAGGGCAAAACGATTACGGGAACCCAGTCTGCTTTCTTGCCTTGAAATCTTGCACTTGCTCTTCCCTCTGTCTGGAATGCTTTTCCTTCGTCTTGTCTGTCTGGCAAACTCTGACTTACCCTGCAACACTCAGCTGTCCACTTCCAGGGAAGCCTCCCTTGACCTCTTAAAAGCAATTTATCCAATCAGTCAATTATTCAACAACAATTTATTGAGAATCTATGATGTCCAGGCACTTTTCTAGGGTCTCCTGATATCATGGTGCACAAAGCACAGACTATGTATGATCTGATGGAACTTACATTCTAGTGGGGGGGGGCAGACAAGGAACCCATAAAGAGAAGTATATTTAATATATCAGGTGGTGATAAATCCCAGAGAGAAAAATTAAGCAGATTTATTTATTTATTTTTTTAAAGATTTTATTTATTTATTTGAGAGAGAGAATGAGATAGAGCATGAGAGGGAAGAGGGTCAGAGGGAGAAGCAGACTCCCTGCTGAGCAGGGAGCCCGATGCGGGACTCGATCCCGGGACTCCAGGATCATGACCTGAGCCGAAGGCAGTTGCTTAACCAACTGAGCCACCCAGGCGCCCAATTAAGCAGACTTAGTGTCCTTTAGCAGGGTAGTTGATGAAGGGAAGGCATTTATTTTAAAGAGAGTGTTCAGAGGAAGTCTCTCTGAAGAGGTGACGTGTGAGCAGGGGCCTGAGCGACGTGAGGGAAAAACCCACAGCAGGATGCGCGGGAAGATCATGCGGTGAAGAGCAGCACGCGGCTCTGGGGTGGGCAGTATCGGTGTTTTCCACCAAGGGCAGAGAGGCCTGTGGCTGATGCTCAGGGGACCAGGAGTGAAACAGACAGAGGCAAGGTGGCACAGGGCTTTGTCGTCCAGGGAATAGCCCTGCATGTTATTCCCAGTGTGATGGAAGCCGGGGGGCTTATGCGGCATCTAAGGTACTTTTTAGAAGGAGCACTCTGGCTAGTGTCTGGAGAACAGAGGACAGAGGGCAGGAGCGAGAGCGGGAGGCCTGCAAGAAGGCTGTTGCCATTGATCATCCAGATGAGTGTTGGCAGTGTCTGGGCAAGAGGGGCTGGCGATGAAAGTGACCAGAAGTCAAATTTGGGATGCATTTTGAAGGTTAGAAGTCACGACGTTACTCCTCACTGCTAGATCCTCTATGCTCCCTTTGAAGTGTATTCATTCTATTTAATTCATTTTACTTAATTATTTGGCACATTTTTGTAATTTTTTTTAAATCCTCGTCCCTCCCTAAGACTGTGATTCTCTAGGACTATGTCTTGTTTGTTCTGTGTCACCCCACACCCATGGATGTATCTGGCACACAGTAGGTGCCTATTAAATGTTGAATGGATGAAGCTGAGGTCCTTGTAGCATGGTGATTATCAGCATTAATCCCAGAGTCAGATTTCCCGGGTTCAAATCCTGACACCCTCCAGCTGTGTGTGAGATTGAGGCAGCCTCCATGGCCCGGTGCTTCGGGCTCGTCACTGATGAAACGGGGATAATCATAGTGCCTGCTTTTTGTGAAGATTAAGCAAATAAACATACAGGGTGTAGAAGTGTGCTTCACACATTGTAAGCACTGTTTATTGAAATTAAACTAAAGTTGAAGTTAGAAGGCCTCAATTTTTACTATCACCCAGAGAAATATCTTCTTGGTGCTTTCAATGGTCTCCCTGAGACATGGGCAATTGTACTTTTCCACAGAAAGTTTTGAGTAAAATAAAATAATTGTCCATCACCTTATCTTTTTAAATTTTTTTTTTACTTTAGTCAGATGACTTTTTCTTAATTCTGTTTATTTTTTTTCTAAGATTTTATTTATTTATTTGAGGGGGAGAGAGAGAGAGCATAAGCTGGGGGGGAGGGGCAGAGGTAGAGGGAGAAGCAGACTTCCCGCTGAGCAGGGAGCCCAAGGTGGGGGGGGGGGGCTGGATCCCAGGACCCTGAGATCATGACCTGAGCCGAAGGCAGACGCTTAATCGACTGAACCACCCAAGTGCCCCTGTCCATCACCTTAGAAAAGATTTATTCAATTTGTTAATTTCTAGAGAAGTGGCACATGTCTAGCAACCTGGTTTTATAGGATGGCCTCTGTACATCTCCCTCCCATGAGGTATCCCCAAATTTCATGAACATATCCAGCAGTAGTAGATCACTCACTTGGAATAAACTGACCCCCCCACCCCCCCACTTCCAAGTCCTATATAGAACCTAAAATAAAAATCTCCCCTTCTACTCAGCCTTTCTGTCTGGTCATATCTGCGGCTTCTCCCAACCTTGTCCCATTTCCCTGAGCTCTCAGGCCGAGGCGGCGTCTGGGGAGGTGTCTCTGGACTGTACCAGGTCTGGCAGGGCTTGGCTTTCTGACAAGCATACCATTAAAGACCCCAGAGAGTGGGCCCAAGAATGTGCGCCTCTTCTATTCCTGTCCCCACTTCCTTTCCAGTAAAGGGCAGGCCGAGTTGTTACTGGCTGCTGAGGGCCACTAATAGACACACAGGCCTCGGGGAAACTGTGTGTCCCACACGGGGATAAATCAGGATCAGCCCCTGCTGTACAAGAGTGGAGTGAGATTTAAGAGAAAAACAGTGTAATTTTTATACTCTTGGTGCGCACTGCAGCTATATCAGATGTGATATATATTATATATTCTGGCTTTGGTATGCTCCCCTTCTCTCCCCACCAGCCAACATTCATTAAAATGTTCCATCGTCCTACATCACATAATTGAGCTCATGGATTAAAGCAAAGGTGATTTCCCTCTCCCAGTCCGTGAGAGAGCTCAGGCCTCAGGCTTCATATACACACAGACTGGCCTTGGAGTTCTGCTGACCCACGCCCATCCCTGGGCAGTGGCCGGCAGGGTTGTGAATCCTAATTCACCAATTTTAAGAGCACAATGTAAAAAGGGAATCCTAGGGAAGCAAATAGTAGTGGCTGCATTTTGAATTTTACCCACCATGAGAGCAGCCCGGGAGCTCAAAGAAAAATCGTGAGATGCCACTTATGGTCTATAAATACATATGTGCGGCATGCGCTTCTTCGAGGTACTGAATAGGGTTCAGTTTTCTGGGCAGATGGACTTGAAAACAAATACCCTAGCTCCTGGTTATAGCTTCGGGAAGTTTTTTTTCTAAACCTTTAAATAACTCTGAGCTATTTGCATTATGAGTTGTCCTGACAATGAGGTTTGAGGGGAGACACTGCAGGATTTCCTTCCCTGGAGCCTTCAGAAACAGGAATGAGGGTATTCTGCCCTGCAGTGTTTGGGTGTGTGTTTCTTGGAGGGTGAAGGTAGACAGCCCCTCTGGTGAGGTGAGCAGAAGCCCAGCCTTGCGGCACCATGCCCCCAGCGCTCCGTAACCTTCCGTGTGCTATACTCTGGAAGGGTCTGGCTGTGTCCCCAAACCTCGGCACTACAGGTAAGCGCGCTAGATCCCTGCTTCTCTCCACAGTCCTTGAAGGAGCCCACCTGCACAGATCAGCAGAATTACCTTATAACCCGTTTTTATTTTCTTTTTATACAACTTTTGTATGGATGATGCATTTCCTAAATTTGTCCCTTGCTGGGCAGCGTGACTGTAGTGTTTATTTCTCGATACTCATCTTGTTGAAAGGACTCCTTTGTCTAAGCATTTGGGGACTTGGTCATGCATTTGGATTTGCCTTATACACACTGATTATGATGTACAGCCTCCCAAGGTCCTTCTGTGTCTGACGTCCCTGGGCAGGAAAGACCCAGAGACTAAAGGACAAGGCTGCTGAACCTCCACCGCCCCTCTGGTAGGACCCCTAGCCACTGCTGCTGGAAACTCTGTGTTCTCTTTCCTTAGAAAGGTTTTTATACAACACAAGGAAAAGCATAGAGCATATAGGTAAAGGGCTTATTTGAGAAACAGAAAATGATGGAGCCAAGTCACCAGCTATCATAAGAGTAGAAACCACAGCACTGATGGACACAGTGGTTCTTAAGCCCTTTTGAGGCTATATATATGCTTTTGAGGCTCAAAGTCACAAATACTCCCTATTGGGAAAAAAATGCACATTTAATTTGACAGAAAATTTCAGGGGGGTCCAAGGAACCCACCCTACCCTAGTGTTCTATATTTTTTAAATACATTCTCGCATACATTTTATTTTTGACCCTTACACATGACCCTGCTGGGCTGATATTACTATTAGCCTCATTTTCAGAGGGTACTGAGGCTCAGAGCAGTAGATTGCCTAAGGTCACTTAGTAAGCAAATTGGGGAGGCTTTGCAAGGTTAAATCCACATTCTTTCCACTGTGCCATATTGGCCCGTGTGATCTGAATGGCCATCTCCACAGGGATTACGAAGACCAAGCAAGCCCAGTCTCTATTCCTGTGTTCAGACTTAGTGTGGTGTGTAATTTCTGAGTGCAGGTGGCCCGAAGCTGAGCTCCTGGAGGCCACACCAAGCCCTGAAGGGAGGGTTGCCTTACCCAAGATGGATGGTCCGTATGTGTTTCTGGATTCCCGCCGCAGTGCTCAGCACCTTCCCGCAGTTCTTCCACAGGCATTTGAACATCACCTTCATAGAATTCTGTAAACAGGAGAAAGTTATATTAAAATGAAAACTAACCCATCCATATTTTCTGTCATCCCAACATATTTTCTCCACCTTCGTTAGAAAAGAAACAACTCGGGCGCCTGGATGGCTCAGTCGGTTAAGCATCTGTCTTCGGCTCAGGTCATGATCCCAGGGTCCTCGGATCGAGTCGTGCATTGGGCTCCTTGTTCAGCGGGGAGCCTGCTTTTCCCTCTCCCCCTCCCTTCCACTTGTGCTCTATCTCCCTCAAATAACTAACTAACTAAATAAATCTTAAAAAAAGAGAAAAGTAACAATTTGGGGTGCCTGGGCGACTCAGTCAGTTAAGCGTCTGACTTGATTTTGGCCAAGGTCATGATCTCATGGTCGTGGGATCGAGCCCCGTGTTGGACTGGGTCCTCACTGGGGACTCTGCTTCAGATTCTCTTCCATTCCTTCTCCCTCTGCCCCTCCACCTTGCACTCTCTCTCTCTCTTTTCCTCCAAAATAAATAAATAAATCTTTTTTTTTTAAAAAAGGTAACAACTTCCCATCATCTTGACTATAATTCAGCATACCATTCTAGGGAGCAACCCCCTCCCTGCCAGCTGGTAAGGATCTTGGTGATCTCAGGCATTTTTCTGCATCCTTCATGGATACTAAGTTGCCCTGAATATTTAGTTCACTTTTATTAAGGTGGTCACAGTGTCATTTAGGCGTTAATGACGGTATCTAACATCAATCGAGCACTTACCATATGCCACGTGCTGTTACGAAAGTTTACCTCATTTAATTCTAAGAGATAGATACTATCATTGCCACCATTTTATAGATTCACAGAGAGTTTCAGTAAATTGTGCCCAGTGAATAAACCAGCTTCTAGCAAAGCTGGGAATGCAGGGAGTTGGGCTCCAGGAACTGCTCTTTCCACCAGGACACAACGCCACCTTCTTTTCAAGGGTCTCAGTGTTTTCCCAAAATAGTCCAGCACAGCGATTGAGAGCACTGATTTTGGACTCACTTTCTCAAGTCCTTGGTTCCCTTACTTATTAAGTAGGAACAGTAACAGGACCTGTCTCAGAGGGTTATTATGGGATTAAATGAGGTCATGAAATGAATCTTTTAGCACGACACCAACAGGAATAATTATTCAACCAATGGTAGTTTTTATGGTATTATTATGATTATACTTCCTGAAATGAATTTGACAGGAGATTAGTTTTCTCCAGAGAGGGCCCTTGTCCTTGGGATGCCACCGCTTTGCTGATTATTCCCATAGGCCTGGTGACAGTCACTTCTGTGTGCTCACTGATCCCCATTTCCTTTTCCTCCTGAGCACACAGCTACACCTCATTTCCCAGCCTCCCTTGCGGTCCGGTGGGGACATGTGACTGACTTAGGACTAATGGAATATGGGCAGAAGTGATAGATATTCCTTCTAAGACTTGTCCCTAAACTACCTGGCAGTGCCATTCCAGCCCAGGCTGCTGACTAGACGCAGAGGATGCTCAAGGACTCAGGAGACCCACTTGATCAGGGCTTCTTAATCTTTTGTTTGCTATGCACCCTTTTGGCAGTTTCACATGAAACCTAGGCAAAGTAATATTTTTTAACATTTAAAATAAAACACATAGAAATACAAAGAAGAGCAAGTGTACTGAAATACAGTTATCAAAATATTAAAAATATTTTGTGATATGGTTGATACTGTATGTATTCTTTAATGAACATATTGAATAACAAGGTCTTGAAGTGAGTCTAATAACTACCATCATTTCAAAGTCGTGTTAAGCCTAAGTGAGATTTCATGATATCTGCTAAAATTATAATGTGATATGAAACTATCTCTGCTTCCTATTGGTAGTAAAGTCACAGGTGACACTAATATTGTGGTTTGATGCTGTCAATCATAACTGCAGGAGATGCTGAATTATAGTTAAGAGGTTAATGACAATGAAAATATACTTTCTTCCTACTCCAAGTTCACAGACCCTCTGAATTCTGTCCACCCTTTTGGGGACCTGTGGACTCCAGGTTAAGAATCCCCGTAATAGGAGGAGGGAGCCTGGGTCCCTGGAGGACTGTGTGGAGTGGAGGTACTCCCTTCACCACTCCCAGCTGACCTGAGTGGATTGTGACATATGAAATAAATAAACCTTTATGGTGTTAAGGCACTGAGGTTTGGAAATAGGCTGTTTCAACAGTAGGCCTACCCTTACCAATAAACATAGTGGCGGGGACACCTTCCCTGAACCGATGGGATTGATGTAGCTTTGTTTCCAAGTCCAGTAGGATTTCTGCCATCCAGCCCTTGTGGGGCTGCCCAGTATATGCCCTGTGTTATGGGGCAATCATTTACACATTTAGAAGATGACTCCTTCAGGTATTCCTGATGGGATTAGTATCCTGATCCAGACAGCCGCCCCCACCGAAGACTTTTTGTACATTTCTCAATTGAAAAGACACTTGGAACCTTCCAGAACGGAGGAGGAGCCTGTGTGTTGGGCAACGGCCACTTTCAGCATGGCCAGTGGAGGGAAAATTACAGCAGCACACAGCTGCAGTCAGCTAGAGTGGACTAGTGACAGCCACCACCCTGCCTGGGGGCTCCGTGAGCCGGCAGCCCCAAGTGTCCCCGAGGCTCTGCCTGGGTGGCTGGCGTTCACGACACCACAAGCCAGCCATCCCTGCCTCAGCGCCTGGGCGTCACCGGCAGCTGGGGGATGCTTGGCCTGGCAGCGGACCGCTCTGAGCTATCCAGGAGCTGCCGCTACATGGAGCTGGGGCCGGAGCCCAAGAAGGGTGTGAAGGAAGCTGAGAAGCAAACACATACTTAGGAAACTTTAAAGTCCACAATCCTGATGAGTCTGTGTTTATTCTAAGGAGACAGTTCACAAGTCTCAGGTTCCCTGATCTCCTGGGGTCACTGATCTAAACACATGGGCTGTAGGGTGAACAAAAGGGGGAAAGTTTAGATCCTGCCCCTCAGCCCCAAAGGTTCACAGGAAGGAGCTCTGCTTGGTATTTTGTATTCAAAGCATAGAATGACTTAACAGCATTAATAAACAAACCCTCACACTAGGAGTGCTTTTTACCCATTTTTCAAACAATGAAGCTAAACTATTAAAAAATATCTTCCACTTAAGGGAATTAATGACTCAAACTGAAATTACATGTACCTGAGAGTCCAAATGGCTGTCTGGAAATAAAGTCATGATAGATAAAAACACTTCTTGATTCATTCCAAACCTTTTTTGCTGATGGTATTCTTTGATTAATTAAACTAAACAGCTATTTAGCAAGGAATGTTCCAGGTGCCAGGGATGGAGATAGATAGAGAGAGAGAGAGAGAAAAGCTGCTCTCCAGGAACTTCCATGCTAGTAAGGGAGAGACAGAAATGCTAATAAATGGTGATTGCCTCAGCTATGGTAAGTTTCCTGGAGAGGGATGCAGAGCAGCTGTAGGTCAGAGAAGACCTCTAGAAGGTGACTTTTGACCCAGGACCCAAAGGTTGGAGCAGTGGGTAGCCATGCTAAGAGTTGGAGTTTTCCAGGGGAAAGAGGAAGAAGAGCTTGGCAGATTGGAGGGCTAGAAAGAAGAGCGAGCTTAGAGGGCAATGAGAGAGAGAGAGAGAGATCGGAGATAAGGCGGACAGGCAAGGAGGGCCAGATCCTCAGGGTCTTGTAGGTGAAAGTAAGGAATTTGGGCTTTATTCTAAAATAAAAGAGAAGCTACTGAAGGGGTTTAAGCAGGGGAGTGATATATGATTATATGATTTAGGTTTTAAAAAACATCACTCCAGGGGCACCTGGGTGGCTCAGTCAGTTAAGCGTCTGCCTTATACTCAGGCTATGATCCCGGGGTCCGGGGATCGAGCCCGCATCAGGCTCCTTGCTCAGCAGGGAGTCTGCTTCTCCCTCTCCCTTGGCCTGTCTCCCCCACTTGTGCACTCTCTCTCTGAAATAAATAAAATCTTTTGAAAAAAATACCACTCTGTTTTGGGGAGAGAGCAATAAGGTTGCCTGTGTCATGCTACCGCCGGTCAGAGAAAATGGTGGATGGAAGAAGACTGGGCAGTGAGCATGGAGAAAAGCAGACACATTTAAGATATATTTTGGAGGCAGATCCAACAGTACTTGCTTTGGGTTGAATATGAGGCCAGGCACATGATACTATTAAAGACGACTTGCATAGCTAGGCAAATTGTGGTTCTGTTTCGAATATGTTAATTTTGAGATACCTATTATAGATCAGGAAGAAGTGGCAAGTACGGCACTGGCTGGACATATGAGCCTGGAACTCAGGGGAAGTCAGGGCGAGAGACAGAAGTCTGGAGTCAGGAGCTGAAGGACTACTTAAAACTTAGGTCTGGGGCACCTGGGTGGCTCAGTCGTTAAGCGTCTGCCTTCGGCTCGGGTCATGATCCCAGGGTCCTGGGCGCGAGCCCCGCATCGGGCTCCTTGCTCGGCGGGGAGTCTGCTTCTCCCTCTCCCACTCCCCCTGCTTGTGTTCCTGCTCTCGCTGTCTCTCTCTCTGTCAAATAAATAAATAAAATCTTTAAAACAAAAACAGAAAAAACTTAGGTCTGGATGAGATCATCTAGGGAAAAATGCAACTAGAGATGAGTAGAAGGCCCAGGACTCTGCAGCATCCGGTATTTCCTACTGGGGAGAGAGAGAGCAGGAGCAGAGATAGATGATAGATAGATAGATAGCAGGAGCAGTCTGAGAGAGAGAGAGAGAGAGAGAGAGAGAGAGGAAATCAAGACAGTGTAGTATTACGGCAGAGGTAGAAGAAAGTGTTCCAGAAGGAAGATGTGGCCAACGGCATTGAACAAGGACTGGGAAGAGTCCCGTGGAGGCCATCCATGGCAGCTGTCGGTGGCCCAGACAGGAGCAGGTTTCGCAGAGTAGTGGGGAAGGAAGTCAGACTGCCATGGACTGGAGAGTAAGTGGGATTGAGAGAAGTGAGGTTTTTATGCTGATGGGAAGAGTTGCAAGGGAAGACTAGATGG